GCACGATGCACCCGACGCTAATGCATTCCTCTGACAGGCCGACTCGACGCTCCCGGTGGCCACTCCTAAAAAGTTCCCGGGAAAACATCGGCTAATTAAGTCCCTTAAAGATTTTTGTCCCGTCGTCGTAGCTGGCTGGTGAATTACTTGAATTTAAGTGGACTTTGTTTATTGACGAGAAGTTTTCGAGGAAATGCAAACTCTAGGAGAAGTTGTATCTATTAAAGGGAAATGTACGGAGTGTACAGAATAATTAGTATGACTTTAATTGCAAAATCGGGAATGGGGATTAATATGTTTATTATACGATCTGTCTACGTTTTGTTTAAATTTTTTATTTTCTTTTTATGGTAACATTCGCTCATGAGAAAATCGATTTGGAATACTGAGTACCTCTGCTATGAATGAAATGTGCTCTGCTATCGTGTCTGCTCGTTGCTTACTGTTTCTACTTCTGGAAGACATTCAAGACCTTGTGCCATTACTTCCAGTGACTTTAATACCTCCTAATGATCAACATGTGCCGAATGATCAGCAACAGCAGACGATGTTTATACCATTACTGATATTTATAGTCTTCAACGTAAGTAGAAGCTCGCAACAACGAACAGACCGTCTGAGACATATCATTTCTTGGAATATATTATATCATTTTTAAATTTCCATAATCGCATGATCATTTATATAATTTTTAAAATATTATTACAAACATGATCCATATATTACCATGCCGATAAATTTAGCCAACATTCGCTGACCCGTTACACTTCTCGTACGAACATTCACACACACACACACACACAAACACGATCGACCAGCGATATTACGGTTCGCACATTTTCAAAATTAATTTCCTCGGAAACGTAGCCTATTACAGAAACAATTAATAACACATGCGTATATCATTAATTTTTTTAGTGAAACTCCCGCCGTTCTCGCTGCTCCAATCTGTACAGAAATACTCCGGTAATTTAGAAATGTTCACGTCAGAATCACTTGTTTCATTAACATCTAATTCTTTAAATTAAAAGTCATAGATTTTTTAATCTTAAAAATACCCTTGCGAAAGAGTTCACTGCACTCGTAAGAATGAACTATCCAAAAATGACGCGAGACTGTCAGACTTAAAGATGATTCTCCAACTGATTCGATTAAAGTCACCGGAATTAATGTCTGTGCTTCATATAGTACCATCAAACTTCAGCGACACGCTCGGACGTTTCATTTCCGACATTATTCCGGCTAATGTATTACATTTAGGACAATCAACGATCGGAACGGTATAATTCCGCGGTGATAATTTAGAATTTTGGTGTGAAGTGGTGCGGTGATGGTGACGCGCACTTCGCCAACGCTTTATGGCTTCATTAAGGCGCCGTTACGAGGTGGATACCGGACGCCGAACAAAGTGAGGGAATGGCGCCGCGATAAACCGCGCCGATTTATGAATATCGCGAGAACCTTAACGGCAGTTGCTAATCATTTCTACGCTGGGGGTTCGGCGCTCGTCGTATCAGCCGCGATTAACGGGCGGATTCGGAAAGCCACCGTAATGACGGACTCGGGGTAGTTTTCGCAGTTTCGAACGGACTCATTTGGCCGGCGCCGATAACGGAAGGAACTGGGAAGATATGAAATGGAGCGGTTTGCTTGTTCGGGGATTTGAACACACGTTAGATTTCCTGGAGCATGGTACGTGGTTCTGTAGCTAGCTTGAATTGCTTTCTGTGGTAGTAGATGCCTTAGAGATTTGATCATTCGGAACTGTCACGTGAACATTTGTGAATTTTTTAATCTTTCAATCTTTTAATCTTTCAATCTTTCAATCTTTCAATCCTTCAATCTTTCAATCTTCGAATCTTTGAATCTTTGAATCTTTGAATCTTTGAATCTTTTAGTCCTTCAATCTTTCAGTTTTTCAAGCTTCATGAGTTACATAATGAATAGACGATGGAAATGTAAAAAGATAGATATTCTTGCCGAGATCGACATTAAGTAAAATTTAACTTTCCGTCCCGAATACTTGGAGGAAATCGGCAGTAAAGTGAAACCGCGTTGAATGTTCAGTTAAAGTACGTGATTCATTGAAGCGTTGCTAGGGAACTGTTCTACATGAAATTCTCGATTTCACTGGACGAAATAATAGGGGTTTTAGAAGGAAGGGAAGATAGAATACAATTACATACTAAAAGTTTACAGAATAACTCGCTGCGATTAACTACCGAAACAACTTTGACTAAACAGAAACTGCCCCAACATAATTGTCTAACAACCGAAAACCCAGAAATAAGTAAGCTGTCTACCGTCGGAAATACAGGCAGACGTGGAACGGTCTGCGGACAAGCGTGCGTTATAATAACCGATAAATCCACGATCTTACCTACGGAAACGTTTCGCCTAGATTCGAGTTTCGTCCCAGAAAGTCCCAGCGGATGATAGCTCGCGCTCGCGCTCGCGCGGCCGCTCACGCAAACTTCAATTAGCGGTCGCTGGCAATTAACAATGTACACGGTACTCGTTCACCGGGCCCGAAAATTCGGAGAAGCGGCGGATACACCGGGAATTAACGATTAAACCGATCGAGGCCTCCCTCTCGCTCTTGTTCCCGCGTCGTCCCCCAATCTATCTTGTTCCCGTTATTTTTTTCCCGCTCCTCGCGCGGCGGTTTCGTCGGATTCGCACTGGGCGGCTGAAAAATGGCGCGAAACCTGATCGTTACAAACCGGAGAGGAATTCCGGCGAATTTTCTCGACCCCCGAAACCCGGTGACGCCGATTGATCGGTCGACGAGTGCGAGCCGCGCTCGTTACCCTCGCGATCGAGACGTCGATGAACCTGTAACGAGCGGGCGATTCATTTGCCAAAGCGATGAAATCGGCGAGGAAGGTTAGAAAAATCGTATTAGACTACATACGGTAGAGACTACAGTACCTGTTCCAGTAGTGAAATTTGGAAAAATACGAAAAACGGAGTTAACATATGACTTTGTTCCGCGAAGAGCGCGAGTAATTCCACGACGCCGTGCGGAATTATCGTTCCCACGGCCATTTTTCTTCCTTCTCGTCATAGCGACTCACGAATTACCCTTCAACGGTCTCGATTCCATCGATCCCGAGCCCGATGATTGCTCTTCCCAGCCGTTTCGATTAATTGTTCGCGCTAGTTCCCGACCATTTGCATATTCCCTCGTTCCGTTCGCTGATATCAAGGAATTCTTTGTCGCGCAGGGGCGGCCAGAAGACAAGGAGTCCTCGCCGAAGTCATCCGAAGAATTCGACGAATCTTCCTCCGTTGCGGCGAGGGGGGAGCAGCGGGACCGGGAGAAAATAGCTGGGTCAAGCGGACGGCGAGGGAACGAAGGACGATCGATGCATCGGAAATCGACGCGACTCGCGTAGTAGACGGTACCCGGCGACTCGGCGAGATCGCGTGCGCGCGATGAAAATCGCGCCGCTCGTCGCGGGAACGTTTAATCTGGACGATGTAGACGATGCTCGACGACTCGACGTCGAGCGCTTCCGCAACCGGCGACGTGACTGACGGCCCGACCGGCTCGTTGAATCAATCCGAACGGATTCACGCGATCATGGGGATCCAGCCGGGGAATTGTTACTAGAGGAGACAACGATGCCTCCAAGGACGATTGATCTTGGTGCTCGTGCGTGTTAGTGACTCGCCAGTGGTGATTCAAGTGGGATTAAGTGCGTCGCGATGTCCCTGCGCCGCCTGGTGCGCTCTGTCAACGATTCGTCCGCGTCTATTGGTGAGTACGACGTTCCGCATCGTTTTATTGCCGTTAGATGTGAATTACTTTCACGTGGATTTTATACGTTCCAGCTTTGAAAATTATTGGAAAATATTCGTCAATCTTCTGGGGATTGTTGAGATGAAACTATAGATTAAATGTAACTTTCTTTTTTACTCTTTATTTTTATCATATTAGATGGTTCACATTCTGATTGGTGTATCGTACAATTTTCTATTATTTACAGAGACTTTATTTGCGACGTTTCGAATGCTATTATGTGTTCTAACGTTAATGTGTGCTAGATCAATTGACACTTTGATCCATGTTTATGGAATACGAGATAATTCCCTGTAAATCACCGAAGCGATTCTATATGCTGGAGTTCACTCTCTTCTAAGAATGCACAGCTGTATTGCTAGTTCTATTTATAATCAGTGACATCAGTGGTAAATGAGCTTTCATTGCAGCCCAGATAAGAGCGAAGTAATAATCCGCGCGCGGCCTCTAATTTGAAGAGTTCGAACTTTTTGTTTCTCCGTCGTTGTATATAATTGACGCGAGTTGTCGACGGTCTAGTTCGATACACCAAGTTTGGAGCCATCTAACTGAACCTCGTTAGTTCGATTCAGCAACATTCGCCTCGTGGGAGGTAATATGATCCAAACTCGGGGATTATAGAAAATTTCCCGAAGTACAGCATTTGTTTCAATCAACTTGATATGTGATCACACGCGGTGCTGCTCGAGCGAACTTCTACGCCGAGAGTCAATCCCTCATTTAATTCGTTAACCTGTCCAGATTAATATTCAACAATTTCACGAACACAATTTTGTTACCGTTTCTCTCTGGCAAACGACACATCGGATTTTCAATATATTCTTGAACAAATTCCACAAATCTTTCTCGCTGATAAGCAAATGATAAAATAAGTTCGAACAAACCCGGGATTTCGTTAGATAAATCGCGACTCGTCGAGTGTCCATAGATGGCAACATGTGATCCCATTCGGAATCGGTCGAACCATTTCGAGTTTCCATGACGCATGCCGATCGACCATGGTTCAACGACTCTTCTCTGTTTTTCCAACGCATTTTGCTTTGATGGAGCTTAATCCGCTTATATCCGCGGGGTCGAACGATGGCTACCGAAAGAGTGCCGGCTGGAAATTTTCAATCAACGGATGGCCAGTCCATTTGCCGAATAACTTGTATCCCTTTGTTTTCGGACCCGGAGATTCCCGGCTGTTCCTGCGACTCGACTCGGCTAAGGCTCAAATCTCGTTGCAATTCCGCGTAATCTTTGTTTGCACGGAAACTTTCCGACTGTTATCGTTACTCGCGAACGCGTCCGAACTTTAAGTCTTCTCCAATAGAGTCGCTAGCTTATACATTCGAATGCGGAACATCGCGAAAATTCCCGGCAATATAAATTTCATACAATAGAAAATTTACTACATACGAACTGCGTTAATAAGTCGTTAGAAAATTGTCCCGAAACGTTCATGTTTGCCATACGTAACCTCGTTCACGAGTCAACCTTATCCAGCGAATGACTGCGATTAATGATCTCAAAACAGGATACTCGGAAACGTTCACGCGTGCTCCACTTTTCAAAGCAAGATCGAAGTCGGCGTCGCCAGCGATTCAGCAGAAATATCGAAGCGAAAGCTCGAGGCGGCGGTTTCGAGGTTAAGCCGACACTCCGCGGGAATAATTAATTTCCACGCGACACCTCGTTGAAATTGAAATTAGGCTTTGAATTCCCACGGCGGCGGCGGCGGTGTCGACGAAAAAGAGAGTAGAATCAAGAGAGTTTCAAAGGGGTGGGATCGCATCTCGCGTTACACCCGTCGATATTCGACAGTGCGGCGCCCGGTGCGCCGGTGCGAGCACATCAAAGCGTCGGAAATTGTTTTACGTTTTACTCGGCGCGGCCGCGGCGTTCAGCCGGCCGAGAGCGCGCGATAATACTTCGCGTGCGTGACAAACATTATTTGTCCGCGGAAATTCGCCGTGAGTTTCCAATGCGGAAGCCTGTAAAAACAATTTTCTCTGGCCGAGGCTTCGGGGTCCGTTCGCAATCCCATTTTGTAATAGGAAATTCGTCCGCTGCGGTCGTTATTTTATAACATCGTGTACAATTCGCGAATATATTTCGAATAGAGCTTACATTACGTGACTCTGATCATACTCGGCAGAGTTGAAATGATACGTTATTTTTATCTCATCAGTCGTTCATCACTGGAGTAAATGTAGACATACAAACATAGAATTCTTTTTTATAGTAAATCGTTGACGATAGAATTGTTCGAATAAATTCAGTTACGAACGAAATCACGGGGCAATAGATTAACACGGACGGTATCCCGAATTTTATTTCGCCGATTCGATCCCCGTGTCGCGCGTGAATTAATAATGTACTGCGATTTCCGATGTTATTAATTCCTGTGGATTACGTTGTTAAACACCGTGACCGGGCGTAAACAATAACGTTGTAAACACGTTCGCGAGCACGTGAATCGTCGTCCGTGAATTTCCAACGGGATATCCGCGCTCTCGCGCCGCGTTTGTTCTGGCGACATCGATACGGAAACGATTAAACATTTACACGATTATTTGGGAATTTGTTTCCCGTTTAAGTGGCTCGAAGAAGCATCGGATTAAATATTCCGCAGCTCGCAAGCGAACCGGCGTTACGTGTACAACCCCGGGGAAGTTCTTCGGGCATTGAGAAAACAATTAGGGGATCCCGGAAGCCGTTTAGCGCTTCGGCAATCTGGCTAAACTTTGAATATTCCTGGTGCTGATTGGCCGAATAAGTCGCGACGGCGCCGGCTCGGCCCGGTTTGAATAAATAATTGGCTCCCGATGTTTGGACACTAGCCGGATTTATTTCGGCTTCCTTCGGATTTCGGCGACGCGATAGGGGGATGCATATTCATGCTTCTAACGAGACAACAAATAAGGCGAATGTGAAGAAAGGGAGACGTTTGGTCAATCTCGCTCTAATTCTGATGAGGCTCGATGTATTCGTACATTTAACTGTTCTCAGAAATGATTTTGCACTCAAAGCTTTCTTTCACTCGTATTGTTAACAATTCGAAGCAACTCGAATAGAGAAAACCTAGACGAATTTCATTCTTCTTTATCGACTTTAGACACGATTGCCCTAATACATTTAACCCTTCGCAAACGAAGGGTTTTTTAACGAAATTTTCTATTTCGGCGAGATGAAATGATGTTTCGAAGACTAAGTCGCCAACAAATGATTTAATTATTCAAACAGCAAGAGACCAGCACGTACTTTCTGGTTTTTCTATTATTCAAGCAATTGGTATATAATTTAGCTTCGTCTGCTGAAAGTTTTGTCTATTTCAAAGAATCTTCGTCAAAGGGTTAATAGTTTGTAATGAGACATTTTAAATAGCTCCATTGTGGAGCTCTCGAGTGCAAAGGGTTAATTTTGAAGCTTTAAAACTGAAAATTACATTCCCCTTGAAGAGATTCCGGTTTAATCGAACTGGCACAGAAATTAGATACTTCGTAGAACTTATGTTACTCTGTTTCCCGTGCAGTTAGTCATTTCAAGCTTTGTCCAACTTCGAACGATGCGTTTGAACTTCGGCGAGCCGAGTTCTATAATTAATCAATCCGATTGCCTGGGCGAACCGAAGAATTGTTTGTCGGCGATCTGCCCCGAGTTTACAAGACGCTATTTGCTGGCCACTCGAAAACGCGCGACAGTTTTGGTACGGTGCCAAGGGAAGTTCCGCGGACCAAGACGTCCGTCGTTCCGATGCAGCAAAGTATAATTTATCCGCGGACACCGTAGATTTATGTGCGCCGCGCCCCCGCGTCGCGAAATATGAGCTTACATTGTGGACTTCCGGCGTCGTTTGACCGTAGAGGCCAAAAAGCTTTGAACCCTCCCCACCCCCCGCGCGCGGGTTAATGCGATACAGGAATTGCATACCACGCGCATTTCATCAACTCTGTAATACACCGAAATCAGTGCGCCGGAATTTATTAACATTTGTCGACGCACCAGGATGAAATATTTATGGAAGGTATTTGAAATATCGCGCTGAACTCAATTTTCGGATCGTTCCGAGCTATACGTTACGGCAAGAGTTATTATTATGTAAATATCTCTCAATGCACTTTTCGGAATTTAAGCAATCTCACAGGGGACGCGAATCATCGACTATTTCGCGTTGCATAAAATTCGGCAGACTTTTCTCAGATCAATGCGGACGGTTGTCCTCGCCATAAAGATTTTTCATCGACTACAATTACACGGTGTTTTTCTGGGAACTAAAAAAGAAATCCGCCGGTCGAGAATTCGGATACACCGGGTTATTTGTTTTCCGAAGCGGCGAGTTTCCTTTTAGCCGGCCAAGAGAATTCCGAAGACATTGTGTCGCCATTGCCGCGCGGTTTTTCAGCTCCCTTTAACCACATTCCTTGGCATTCGAGACGGTCCGAGAGAGTTGCTGAACCGAAACGCCCGTCAAACGACGGATCCGCTGAAAGGAACAGAGAGCAACGCGATAGTAATTGCGAGGGATCGTTGTAAACGGCTCTCCAAGGGTTTCCCTGCATTCCTAAGCGACCGCGAGTATTACCGTGCCGACCGAATCTGAGCTCCAGGAGCAGGCACCAGGAAAATTCACGCACGTGCCGCCGCGTTAATGCGTCGTGGATTGCGACGGAATGAAATCTTCGCAGCTAAACAAACATTAATAAACCCACGTCGGACTACTGCAAAACCACTATCCAATCAAATATCCTCTAAGAATAATCTATTCCTCACACAGGAATTTAAACTCAAGTTACACTTATCATCCAGAACGTCAAAAACTAAAAACATCCCTAACACACTTACATTCCTTTAGAAAACTTCAATTCACCTGTCTGTTCGCTATCAATCCTTTAACCCTTTGCACTCGAAAGGTGACTCTCAGTCACCACTTGATTTGATGCAAAACTATAAAATTTGATATTTAATATTGAACC